AACAAAGAATAAAAAAGACAAAAAAAACAAACTCTTAAATATAGAGAATGAACTGGCAGTCGTTTATTAGTCTTTTATCATTCCTCAGTCTCTCTGATAGTGACTCACAAACAGGACTTTTAGTGTTCTCTATTTCATGCTATCCACCATGCTTCTGTTAGTTAATTCTGCTTCTGTGTAATGAGAAACATAGAAGTGGTAGAAGAAATTTTGACAAAATGAGAATCCTTTTTCATGCCAGGTACTGTGCAATTAAATCATTTAATCCTTATAAGACCCTTATACAGTAGATATGTATGGTTATTTTCTCCATAATTCCAAGACTTGATAGACAAAAATGACCACTTAGGAATCAGGGGATGTGGATGAGGCAGGCAATGCAGAGAGTCTCTAGGACAGGTGATTCTACAGTGGGGTGAGAGATTTCCCAACCTTCCTTGTACTGTTCTGTATTTCTAAATTGTTCCATGTTTCTAATAAGCCTGCTTTACCCTTATCAAAAAATAAGTTAAATATTTTATAAAGGAAAATGAAAGTTATACTTAGTCATTATGGGACATCTGGAAGGTACAGGAAAAAAGTGCTCATTGCTTAAATGTAAACACAACCTTTGTAAACTTTTTGGTACCTTTCCTTCTAGTTGTTTTATATGCATATAATTAAACATTTTTGCATAGTTGTAATAATTTCTCAGTGTTTTTTTCTCCATAAAAAATGAGGTGTGTGGTGCCTGGGTGGCTCAGTCAGTTAAGCATCCAACTCTTGATTTCAGCTCAGGTCATGATCTCAGGGTTGTTAAGATCAAGCCCCATGTTGGGGTCTGCACTAGGCATGGATTCTGCTTAAGATTCTCTTTCTCTCTCCCCCCCACCCCTCCCCCCCTTAAAGAAAGAAAGAAAAATAAGTGAGATGCCAGTACTCATATCTTGATGAACTATAAAAATGCCTCTTTCATCCTCCCCTCTTCCTGGGCCTTTTTCTCCTTTTGTCTTGAATTACAATCTCTGACACATGTGCATTGCCTAGAAAGCCCCATTTGGTTAACAGATATCAATGTGACAAGCAAGAAAAAGAAAAAGAAAAGCTTATTACTTCTCCTCTTCTCGTTAGCACACATATCATTAATAATACCCTTTATGTTTTTTTCATGGGTAGAGTGATTCAGTCTACACATTCATATATTCATTCATTCAACAAATATTTGTTAAGTACCTTCTAAGTGCCAGCCATTTTACTCTTCAGTGAGGATGCAGAGACAATAGAAGAATCCTTGCTTTTTAGGAGAACATAGAACCATAAATAAGAAAAACATGTGATAAGTATACGTGGAAATATTAATCAAGTCCTGAAAGACCACAGAGGAGAATCACTTGGAGTCTCTCTCCTAGAGATCCAAATGATTCTCCTAGAGAAATCAAGGAAAGCTTTTTACAGATAAGAAAATGGAGGAGCTCAGAGAGATTTAGTCACACAGCTAGTTAGTGGTCAAATTAGCGTTAAAACCAGATCTGACTGCAAAACCGCTCTTTATTCTACCAAACCAGGTCACAAGGAGGAAGCACCCCTGTTTTCATTGTTTTATAAGTTCCAGATGTCTGTATTTGGGGTATTCTTGAGTCATGGACCACAGCTTCCCCCTTTTTCTCTCCCTATTTCAAAATGCCACCAGTTTCTGGTTTGATCAAAGAGTAACAGAATGGAAGTAAGGAGACCTGAGTTCTCTAGAACGAGCTTTGCCACTGTTTTAACTGGGTCGTCGTGGACATCTTATTCCTCATTTCTAGGCATCTCTTCCCCATCTGTAAAGGTGAGGAGGTTGAAATAAATCTTTCTAAGCTTCTAATTTTTTGTAGGTAGTATGTCATGGTTTCCTCCTTCTTTTCAAAGTATGTGGCATTTCCTTAGGAGCAAGGGTTCCCAAGGGCCTTGGCAAGTCTAGACACACCATGGAATTGGCAGAGGGATAGGTGGGGGTCAAGGGTGAGGTCTCTTAACTGCCTGGGTTTGAATCTCAGGTGTGTCACTTACATGCTATTTAATCTTGAGCAAACCACTTAACTTCATTGAGCCTCACTTTTCTAATTTGTAAAACAGAAATAATAACAAATAACTCACAGAGTTGGTGTGAAGACTCATTGAGCTTATATATATCCATCCACACTATTTTGCACGGTGTCTGGCACATAGCACTCAATGTAGCTAATGATACTAATGGCTATTGTACTAGTACTAATTTGGAGTCCTGAAGAGGTTTTAGAAGTCAAAATACCATAGGGCACCTGGGTGGCTCAGTCGTTAAGCGTCTGCCTTCGGCTCAGGTCATGATCCCAGAGCCCTGGGATCGAGCCCCGCATCGGGCTCCCTGCTCCGAGGGAAGCCTGCTTCTCCCTCTCCCACTCCCCCTGCTTGTGTTTCTGCTCGTGCTCTCTCTCTGTGTCAAATAAATAAATAAAATCTTAAAAAAAAGATGTATTGTTTAAAAAAAAAGAAGTCAAAATACCATAGTAGCTTTTTTTATTAATGATTCCTTTATAAAGGCACTAAGGAACCAATATGTCCATGCATTGAATATGGAATTTTAGTCATTTTCCCCTCAGATGTTCTATTAAGGGGTCAAAAGGGTTGGAGTACTGTTTGCTGCTAAATTTTACTCATGACCCAGAAAAGACTTCCATTAATCTTGTATAATATAGGGGGAATCATTCATTCTTTTCTTTGTGTGTTTCCAGTGCTCAGAGCAGGCTACAGCACAGGGTAGTACTTTGCAAATGTTTTTTGAGTGAATAACTAATTTCACACTTGGTTTTTAAAAACTGAGGAGAATAGTAGCACTTGGCAGCGAATCTTTTGGCCCTTGGATCTTAGCCTGTGACAGTTGTTGAGTTTGTTTTGAAGGGGATATGGGGGCATCCCATGACAATCAAAGCAGAATTCTTCTGATACCAATGTTTGGCTTTCTGCTTTGATCAATAGGCTTATTATTTGCCCTTGAAACCTCTGTGGTGCTGGGGAATCACAGACATTCCTCAGGATGATTTACATGGCAGTAAATAATCTGTGCTGTCCGTTGCTTGCTTCATCAGTGTCTGCCCTGTTCGTAAAACCCTGGAGGCTCAGTGGCCCCAAGGCTGGAACACTGCCGATATGTTAACTCCAGAATATGTCACTTAGCTTCATTGTTGTTTTGTTGCTGTAATATGCATCCACAATGCATCTTTAAGGATTGAGGTAACTGTAGAAGTTATTTTCCATCTGACTTAATTATAGTTACCATACCATTTATTTTTTACCTCTGTTACATGGTAGGCTCTGCATATATCTTCTTCTCTAATCTTCATAACTACCTCTGAGTTAGGTGATTGTACCCTTTTTATAGAAGTGGAAACTCAAACTCAAGGAGGTGAAGTTTATTTTCTGAAATCGCATGGTGCATGAGTGCTGGAGCTTAGGTTTTAACTCAGGTCTTTCTGGACACAAAGCTCTTAGCTGCCATACCATGACATTTTCTTTATCTAAAGGACTTTCTTCTGCTGCTGTAAGTGTTTGGTGTTTAAGTTAGCAACCTCTTGCAAAGATCCGTAAGTTTCCCATATCATTCAGAGATGAATTTTAAATTTCTTAACAGCGTTGCAAATACATGAAATTTATAGTGACAAACATAGCCAGATTACTTTCTTGTTAACCATCCATTTAGCAAATTTACAGTTCCCATTAATTTTAATCTGTCCTTATTACCTGTTTTATATAATAAATATCTCTTAGTCATGACAGACTGAGTATAGATCACCTGAAGTAGGCTCTCTCTCAATAAGCAGAGTTGCAGCTAAAGATTTGTGAATTAATTGGGAAAATTGCAAATCAGGTAGTCAGTGAAATAATTCATTGTCACATCCAATCAATAAACTTTGTAAATCAACTCATTTAATTCAAAAAATGATCTATATAGATCAAGCAACCAATTAAACAATTAGCATACACTTTGCAATTAATTAATTTAAGCATCAATCATATAATTAAAACTCCAAATTTAAGCTGCACAATTTAGAACCCTACTGCCTTGTGAACTGTTAGGTTCGTGTCTGTGAATGCTAGCAGATTAGCAGTTTCACAATGCATCTTTGGAGCAGGGTATCTTAAAGTGTTTTTAATTGATTTTTAAGTTTTAAGTTGTCTTTATGATGGTGTAGTTTCCCACCCCTTTTCAGCAAATTGGCTTTTTACTTCCCCCAAAGAAAGAGAATGAAGTGTGTGTTGTCTCTAAGATGGAATCTGGGAGTACAGACTGGACGTTCTGGGGGTGTGAGGAAAGTCCAGAAGTAGTTGAGAGGGCCAGTTATCCGCATCAGGATAACTCAGGTAATTTGCTTTTACTCTGTTAAGTATCCTTGGTGTTTGGAATCAGATCTTGCCACGTGAGTCTGATACTCTTCAGAGAAAGGAGAACTGTATGGATTGTCTTTGTTACCTTGAGTACTTCTCCTAACCTACAATAGGTATTTTCTTAATCCTGACCGTAAATCAGAGGCCTCTGATTCCTCCCCTGCACCAATAATTTTTTCTCCTTTATATTTTGTTTGTGTCTCTTTTATGATATTTATTTTATGTATACTTATATTTAGCTAACTAAAAAGTAGTACTTACTTTTTCCCCTTGCTATACTGTAAGCTTCCTTGAGGGATAATACTAAATATCATCTTTGATTTAAGGGGTTAAGTTCTGCATCTTATCTATAACAGATGCTCAGTAAATATTTGTTGAAAGAATAGAGTACTGGAAAGGCCCTCATTTCACGTTGTTCTTCCCCTTTGTATTGCCATGTTTTCTCTTTATCAAATGAAGTAGGATTTGGGGGAAATCTAACTGTATCACCAGGCTTTCAGGTAAAAAAAAAAAAAAAAAAAACAGCAGTGTCCCAGTTTGCTTGCTGTATACCATAGCCTCTAGTCTCCTTATCCCTCCTTCATCTTGGTATTCACTCACCTTTTTGGTTTTCTTTTTAGTGACAATGTCAGTGCCTACTGCCTGCATATTGCTGAGGATGATGGGGAGGTTGACACAGACTTCCCCCCACTGGATTCCAACGAGCCCATTCATAAGTTCGGCTTCAGTACCTTGGCCCTGGTTGAAAAGTATTCATCTCCTGGTCTGACATCCAAAGAGTCACTCTTTGTTCGAATGTGAGTATTGACCTTTTACAGATCTCAGTATCTCATCTCTGCCTTCTAGGATTTTGGACTTGTTTTTGGTTTTGCTCATCATATGAATAATACTGGGTATCTGGACGTCCATCTGTAGTGACTTCTTCCAGGGAGATGCTGGGGACACCATTTGCATTCTATTTCATGCTTCTGCACCTAGATTAAATGCAGACTGCTTTGCAGTAACAAATTGCATTAGGTAGATCTCTGAACATAATATCTGTGAACCAGGCCTTTGGACATACTGGGTGGGGTACTTTGGAGCCTTTGAAGCAAAAATTCTGGGTTTCCCTCTTTCTCTTCATGGACTCCAAAGTATATGAAAATGTGCATTGCAGCCACTTTTGTCTTGTGACTTAAAATACTTCTTTTCTTCTCCAACTTTGTTCAAATCAAATTTGATTTTTCCTCTCAGTTGCCTTCCTTTAGACTGATAAGGGATGAATTTTCCTGTGCTTTTGGCAGTCTGGTAAAACCTATAAATTATAAGCCCGTTCCAGAAAAAAGTGTTTGTAAATGCAGAAAATAAAATCCACAAGAATATAAAAGAATTCCATTATATTTAAATACTTCGGAAATTATTAAACAAATTTGTGGTATAGTAATATGTATGGCTTTTTAAATACCAAGATCTAGCAGCAGGTCTAACTCCTGAAGTCTCTCGCTTCACTTCAAAGTAGTGATGAGTATAAATGATATTTGAGAAGTCTGCAACAACTGTAATGTGCTGTATCATCTGTTTTTTCTGTTCATGACAGAGTTACCAGTACTACTAATACTACTGTGATTTGTTGACTACATTTATAGTTCAAGGAAATGCTAAATATCAGAAGTTAATGAAAATAAAAATATAATTTTTGTTTATTCAAGTCTCTAGAGTGAGTTTTACCCAGAGGTCCCAGTTGTTAGAGGAAAGCCTGTGGCATTTTCTAAGCACAGCTTAAGCTTTGCTAACCTGTATTGAGACTGGCCCTCTCCTGGGAACAGTAGTGATCCTTTTGGCACCCCCTGCTGTTAGTAACCAGCAAATTCACTATCCACAGGAAGGATTGCTTTAGAGGACTTTTCCCTTGTCTCTTTAAAACATATTGCCTTTAGGGGTGCCTGGGTGGCTCAGTTGTTGAGCATCTGCCTTCAGGCTCAGGTCATGATCCCGGCGTCTTGGGATTGAGCCCCGCATCGGGCTCCCTGCTCCGAGGGAAGCCTGCTTCTCCCTCTCCCACTCCCCCTGCTTGTGTTCCCTCTCTCACTGTGTCTCTCTCTGTCAAATAAATAATAAAAATCTTTAAAAAT